TTAAAGGCGATCCAGAAAACCATGGAGACCTTCAAGCTCAAGAGTTGTGCCTTGGACTGCGCCAAGCCTTGCCCAAGCGGTTTCTCTCGTTTTCCATGGAATTCTCCAAGAATTCGTGGGCTTTAGGGTGGGTTTATAGGGATTTAGATAGGGATTCCAAGTCAAGTACTTCATTTGGAAAGACCGCCCCGAAGGAGACCGCAGACCCCCCCTCCAAGGTGGCACCTTGATTTGTCGCTGGCATCATGCTGAACGTTCACAAGCTGCGGATGAAGCACTCAACATTCCGCCCAAAGATGCTTGATTTCAAGCAGTACATGGCAGATGTTCGAATTTTGTGGTCTGTTTTCCGGAGAGGGATCCACTAACCATCCACTTGCGCAAAATCGCAACATTGACATTTTTCGATCTTGCGCAGGTGGATGTTTTATTGATATTTCAGGTATTACCCAGTGCCCAAGGTACATTTGGGCTCCACCATGGGTTGGATTTCTCCGATCCCTGCTGACACACAGGAGGAACTTGTCATCAAGATTCAGCTGTTGGAAATTTACGAGTTCGAGGCGGCGCCCGGGGTCATGAACCATTGTATTGTAGATCCCCCTACATGGAAAAAAGAAACTCTGGGAGGATACGCTTTGGATGAAATCAGATTCTGTAGCCCTGTAGCGTTGACGTGTTTTCTCTTTTCATGTTTTCGATTATGAAAAAGGTCAGAGTTTGATTTGAAGAGGAGGATTTGAGGTTGCAATATCCAAGGTTGGGGAAGGGCATTGTGCAGGGCATTCTGTGGAAAAGCATTGTTGAAGATGGGTGTGAGACTAATTGCATTGCGCGCATTTGGGGTTGCACTCTGGATTCCATGTCATGCAGCGCTGGCAGTGTGACGGAAGGCCGAAGCTGTAGCCATATGACGCTGTGCTCAGCCTCATAGCCCTAGGATGAACAACGATGAGAAAACTCGACACACCATACAAAGAAGAACAAAAGGAATAAAAAGAACAAGAACCACAAGAACAACGGAAGCAGCAGAGCAAAGAAGGAAGCAGCATAACAACAACAAGAGCAACAGGAACATTTTAAACACAAAAAACATACAAAAACAATAATAATAATAAATAAACATAACAAAATTGAGAAGAACAAAACGGCAAACACAAAAGCAACAACTAGAACAAGAAGAACACAAAGAAAAAAACAAAAACCACAACACTGATGTCCACAAGCACAGTGCCAGCCACAAGAGCAGCAGCAACCAGAAGAGAACACAACACGATGCCATTTTCATTTTGAGGTACAACATTTTTTTTAATGTGTGTTGAGTGTGTTTGTTTGGCCGAACCTTATCTTGAGTGGACACATTGTTTTCAAGGCTTAGCTTCTGATGTCCCCTGCCCCCACCAAATTGTGAGGACTTGTTTGAAACATTGGAACAATATTTGCAAGTCGTGCATTAAAAACACGCTGGTTACCAAGTACCAATAGGGGCCGATTTGTTGGCATATGTTTGATGAATAGTACTCGTAATATGGGAAAAAGTTGATGTCATGATTTCAAAGATAATATGTGTTGTTGTCCTTATTTTTTGTTGTTGAATGGGTTGCATGCTTGTTGGGCAATGTAAGGGTTGGATCTTATGTCATTGACCTGTGATGGTGTGTTGTTTGTTGCTGGTTGTTAGAATGTTATTGTTCTTGTGTTGTGTGCTGGTATGGGTGCTATTTACGTCTATTATATAAATACTAAATTACAAACCACCATTTTTCGTTGTTTCCTGCGCACATGTTTGTTGCATACCTCATATCTCCAAGTAAGTGGATCTCCCATAATTAAAACACATTTGCCATCTATGTTGTCACCAGGGTCCAGCTATGCGCCAGGACTGTGGCAAGAAGGCCTTCTGGGAGGAGGGCTTGGTCCTGAAGAAGGCGATCAAACCCCAGAGGTGTCGCCTTTGTCCAGGCTTCAACGGCACCTGGTGCAAGGTGAAAATCTTCAGCGCCACAGCGGGCCAGGAGAAGGGGCTGCATCCATGGAGAAACCATGGTTTTTCTATGTTTTTCTTGAAATTTGGGCAAACTGGGCATCCACAAGCCTTGATTTACACCATCCCCTTCAGGCCTGAACCCGGCCTGAACCCTTGGCACACCACGTTTGGAGTCGGAGTGCTTTGGGCATCTGTGGCCACCAGGAGGAGCTGTTGTCCGAGGAACAACTCATCGAAACGACGGTTGGAGAAGGGGAACTTTGCCGTGAGCTCAGAACTGCTGCAGTGGAGTGGAAAGTGAATTTTGGTGACCCCAACAGAAATGGAGGAACCATCAGGAATAGTCGATCAAAAATTGGGATTCAACCAGGAAACTGGGAATGATAAGGAATTTCTTCTTGGGTTTCTTAACCATCAGCAACCACCAATGTGGATGAATATTATTTTGTAGCCTATTTTGTAGCCTTGGTGAAATCCCCATCGAAAGAGTGAAACCGGATGACGTCTCGCGGCGTCTTGGACACTCGTCGGCTTGCGGGAAAATTAGCTGAAGAAATCCAAGTCAGTTTAGGATGGTTTAGCTCACTTGGATTTATGAAAATCTATACCCTTTGGTAATCTGTTACATATCTATGGAAAGCGGCCACACAAATAGTTGATTGACCTATTTACCTTTTAAATCCTTTTAAAAATTGTGATTTTCCATAGCTACTATCTATGTTAAATTGCCAGAAGGTAAATCTCGTTTGAACCCAAACAATCCCCACCTCTCTCAACTCCTTCAGGGGTCCACGTGGGCTCGAGGTGATGCCATGGAAGCTGCTTGTGGCGCCATGCGCAAAGGCCAGGGGTGGTTCAGCGATGGCGGCCAGCGATGGCCGTCCAAGGAAATCCACCGGTGGTAATCATGGTAATCCCACTATTTATGGCTGGTACCCTCTGGCTATTTAACATAGCCATGGGAAATGGCCCATAGAAATAGATGGTTTACCTGGGTTTACCTATAAAAAATGGTATTTTCCATGGCTATGTTAAATAACCAGATGGTAAATCATCAATTTATGGCTAATCTTGTTCTATGGATAAATTGTATTGACCTCTTTGTGACGTCACTGGAATGATTGTTTATGTAGTAGCTATTCCTTTTGATGACCTTAGTTCAGGCTTGCTAGATAAAACAAAGAAACCATGTTAACGGGTAGCATCACTTAGAATAATCTACAATGATTTAATGAAACATCAACAACCCCTATGATTTAGGATATAATCCCTATAATACCTATAATCCCATATCAATCCCCACATTTTGCCATGGTTTTCTCCGTTTGAAAAAAAAAAGCACATCGGACAGGAGAGGTGGCCTTAGTCACAGTGAAGGACTTGACTTTGCTATCGCCTGGGCTGCCAGAGCTGAAGGCTGGCTGAATAGGAAGCTGGAAGGTGGATGTCAACAATATGATACAATATATTTATAAACATATATAAGCATAGGGGTTGACATATATTTATCATTGATTAGTTTGTTTTTTGCGTTTTGTATTGTTGTTGTTTTATATTATCAGTATAGTGTATACTAATATGTATATGTCATATGATAAGTGTATACATAAACATACTTACAATTACATGCATACTTGCATACACCATAGATATTCAGATATTCATATGTGCGATTATGTGCGAAGCTTTCCGGCAGGTGCCAGCCGAGGGGCCCGTGGTCTTCAAACTCGAGATGTTGGACTTTGGTATCTTGGGCAACAGCCAAGTGGGTCTCCGAGATGTTTAGATAGAGCAATTGTCACAATGTCAGAAACAAAAATATGTGTACATAAGTGTATATATATAGGCATTTATTGTATTGATTTGCATGTTTTACATGTAATTGATTGTTCTTAATATTTAGAAATTATATATGTAATTCATGCAAGCCAAAAACATATCTGGACACCATCACTTTCATCGCCTGAAAGATTTTTTTGCTGTATGTTCCAATAGATTGTTCCGGTTTGGCCCTTATAGGTTGAGACATCAATTAAAATGTAGTTAATATACTGGTGGAAATATCCCAAAAAGGGTTGATGGTGATTTTGCAAAGGAAAGAAGGAACATTGTTTGCTGCAACCAATATTTTCTATGGTCTATGTTGCTTCGGTTACTGCTGCAGTCTTGAGTGCTCAGTTGTCGTTTTCCCAAAAAGGCTGGATGTTCCGTCCGATCCATGTTCCCATGCAGAACTTATTGGAGATGGGCAGAATTTAAGACTCAGGGGACCACAGATTTTAGAGATTTTTTTGTCTTAACAATCCATTAAATTGGGGTACCCAATTTTGACCCATACCCATTTCCCAAGCCTGTTTTCTCAGATCGAGCTAGGCGATAAAGAGTTTTCCCAACTCATGGACTCCCCTTGAAAAATCATCAGCTACATTGATTCGATGTGATCTTTCAAGAAAGGATTCTCATGTCATGTTTCCCTCATTTTCATATATGTTCATTCATTTTCCCCATGTTCCTCCGTTCCAAGCCCGCCCCCCAAGATCCGGAGCTGCAGGCAGTCCTGGCCCCGAAGAAGGCCCTTCAGAGAACTTGCTGCTGCTGAATCTGGCAAAGAAGGTCAAAGAGAAAGGCCCTCACTGGGACATACTGCGCGAATGGAAAGTGGGGATAGGCTAGGATAGGCCTAACATCCAAGACTAATTTGGGTTGCATGTGCATCCCAATTATGTCCGGGCATGTGTATGCATATACATATATACACATATTTATACATATATATATATATATCCATATTTATACATACATACATACATACATACATATATATATATATATCCATATTTATACATACATACACACATTATATATATATATTATATATACTCATGTATAGATAGTGCACATTGGGAACAGCTAACAAAAACATGTTTGCAGTCCGGCAGGCTCGGAACACTTTAAAGCTGGTCGATTTCGATTGGCGCAGGAGCCTGGTCTTGACACCATGGCGGTGACATGCTGGGAGGAATAGAAACGGGTACATTTTTGCTGATCAAATGGGATGTTTATTGGGATGTTCATGTGATATAATGCAGCTATTTTTGGGATATGATGAATATATATATATATAGAGTATTATCAAAACAACTTGATATGAATATATTTGGATGAATTTGATCATGACCATTCATGACCTCACGTCGACGTCTCTGCCATGATGCTTGCTAAGGGGAATACACCAATCACGACCTTATATTTGAGTGTTTTTTTTTTCCAGGATGGTGATATGATCCTTTAGCCAGATAGATGGTCCACTGAAGAATATGCTGTGGACTTTTTCCCACTACAGTAGTTGTTTTTTTGTTCAATAGAGGGCCCAGCCCAGTGAACAAGGCAAATTAGATGCCACATGCAAGGTGGTACCCCCCCAGTTGTGTCTTGAGAAAGCCCCTTCTAACTAGTTCAGTATATCTACCACAAGCGTGCAGTTCGTGGAGATATTGCCATGCAAAAACGATTTTTCTAGTAAGTTCTTTGGGGATCGAAAAAATGGTTGACACAACCAGGATTCAATGATGTCTCTAATTTGAAGATCAATCATGATCAAAAAACCCTCATTAAATCTAGCGTTGGCGATGGAGAGAGAGAGGGAGACATGGCGGAATGCATCGCAGGGATGACCCAGGGACGATTTCTGGAACAGAGTGTTGACCATTGGGAAAGCGGGGACGGTGGATGACTTCACTCCATCAGCACAACCTTGGGCTCGTCGCTCCAGGAGCGCTATTCACGGGTCATCCAGCTGCTTCCTCGCTACAAGAAGCCCTTGGGAAGCACCACCAACACCGAGGTGCTCCCCATGTTCAATGGGTTGGTATGGGTTTGTTTTGGTCTGGCAATTTCTGGCAAATCTTCAGGAATTCCTGCAGCTTTTACCACCAATAGTCGGATTTTCCTGCAGATTTTCTGGGTCATTTTTATTCAGCCGAATACCCTTCTGATGTGATCTGACATGTGGGATTGTTTGACACTAGGGTATATACCTCTAAATTTGCATGTTGATCAACATGTTCCATCTCAACAATTTGCCGTTTTTGGGAGCTTCTCCATTTTCTTTTTGGATCTATGTGAATCACATTCTGATCGGATCCCATTTGTCATTTAACTCTATAATATTGATGGATTTTGACGGTTCATCAGACGGTTCTGCCGGGTCATTCATCCCATCTCAAATGATTGCACCAATGGCTGATGAACCGAGAGTTCCATACAACAGAAGTCTCAAGTGACTAAGTGTAAGTACAATTTTATACACTTTTATTGGACATTTAGAATTTATATAAAACTTAGTTGTCTCATCCCATATTTCAATCCCATTCAGTCCCCATTTGTTGAGACATTTCTGACTGGTTTTTCTATGTCCAGGCCATTCCTGACCCGGCCCCACGGGAAGCGTCGGTAGGTCTTCACCGAGTGGGTCGAGAAGAAGACCGCGGAGGAGTTGAAGCGCAGCAGTCGTCTGAACCTGGCGGCCTGTGCCGCTTGGATCCGTGGGAGCTATGAATCATCTACTGAACAAAGATATCTTAAACAGATGTATAAATATTATTAGATGTATAATTAACCTTTATTAATAATTATACTTATATTAATATACATTATATATTAGATATATAATTATATTCACTTTAACAAACATATTGATGTTTTACTTTATATTTTGTGTGTGAAATTACTGTATGTGAGTTTACAGTATTTCTACGCGTAGTTTGTTTAGTTTCTTGTTTTTGTGTGTGTGTGCGTGTGTTTGAATGCATATGTGGATGAGTGCTTTCCAGCCCAGATAAAGATTGGCCACTTGAAGCGTTCTGCCATGTGCTGATGCCGTAGTGATTTCAATGATTCTGAGGTGAGCCAAAGCCAGTTGAATCAGATTTTAGGCCGATTTGGCGGCTAAAATCCGTTGAATTCCTGTAGGTTTCTCAAACAAACCAATCTATTTTCCCAAATATCCCACTCAAAAAATGCATGTTATTTCCCTTTCTTAGCGCTAAATCCCACCAACACAGCGATGATGGGAGCTTGAAAAGAAGGCTTTGAAGCTCAACTTGCACTATGCGGCTGCCAGACACGCTGATGAAGTTCTCAAGGAGGCTGGGTCCCAGCCAGGGATCGGCACGCTTCAATGGGATTCAGAATCAAGATGAACCACATATGAATCACATATGAATATATATGAATCAATATGAACATTTTTTACTTTTCCATATATTGAGAATAATAATAATCCTAACTGACTAATATTTTTTCAGAGGGGTTGAAACCGCCAACCAGATACCGCTAATCACATATATCATGTCAAGATGTCAAGATGGCTCTCTTTTTTTCCCCAAGGCATCCCAAGGCGTTCTCTTAGATCCCAGCTAGCAAGTGGTTAGTAATTTGTATATATATATACCATATACATACCCATATAGCTACGACATATCCAATGTTTTTTCCTCATATATATTAATAATATACAAATAATACACAGCTGGTTTGTTCTGGCCCCGGCCGACGAGGAGCCCAAGAACATCAAGGCCCTGTACCGCCGCGCGCAGGGAGCGCTGGGCACCAACGATTTCGATGTGGCGGTGAAGGACTGCAAGCGAATCCTGGAACTGGAGCCCGACAACAAGGACCGTCTTTGGGAAGTGACACAGCAGTAGGACATGTACTATACAACATTATTTAACAATATATGATAACGTGATATAAAGTGGGATAAAGTTGGAAAATGGAGAGAGAGAGATAGATATAGTGGGAAAATTACTCACAACTGGTTGGGCGGTGTATCTTCGAATGTTTCTTTTCCACCCGAATTGGATATTGGTTGAGAGAACGAGCGTATTTTTGCGACGGTGGCTCAACCACATTCAACCACCAACCAGAAAAAGTAAAACAGCTGCCTGTTTGTTGAGTCAGTTTTCGGCGCGGAGCTGGATGCAGCGATATCTGTTTTTTTTGAAGACTCCGATGACATGTTTGCAACAGTTACGATCAATAATGCAAGGTATATCCGTGCTTGTGCTGCACGTGTACGCAGAACTGCGGGGCACATCTGGAAAGAAACAACACATTTGAATTGTCAACTTGGAAAAGGGGAAGCTTGGCCAGTTGCAATTAAGCGAAGGGTGTCAGAAGTGACCCTAACCCCCTCCCACAAACCATATTTACGTAATACTGGCATCAGCTTGCCTAAAGTTTATATATCACTGCAGGTAAGCTTCAGAAACCTCAGTTTTCATGGATCAAAACTCATTTAATTTCCCCATCTACCATTTTACGGACTAATATATCCCAGTTGTCAGAGGTCATAACAACCCAGTTTGCTATCCCAGCATTGGTTAAACACCACACAAACATACACAAACCACATTTGGGATTACATAACACCAATAGGGTTTCCTAAGTTTCCTATTGTTTTTGGGGGGGAGTAAGAATCCACGGGTTTCACCTTGAAAGTCCTTCCATTGATGCCAAGTTTTTTATGGATTTAGAGGATGCGGGGCTTCTGCTGCGGAAGGTCAAGCAGACCGAGAAGGACAGGCAACGGGCAATCCACCATTTATAGATGCTGTTCATTGATTTTCCCAAACTTCCATATTTAATAGGGAATTCCACATTGCTACATTTGATTACCGGAGGGTAATGATATATGTTTTAACATATAAATAATTAAATACATTGACATAGTTATTATATATAATTGTATATATAAGCTTAGTATTATAACCAACGGGACCAACTGTATTGATTCAGCAAGATTGGCCATGTTCAAAGATCAAACAATCGGGACTTAACCAGCATGAAATGCTGATTAAAATCAAAAATCGTATTCAAAACCGTAAAAAAAAAACATATTCAAAACCATTAAAAAAAAACATGCAGTCACCGACAGAATTATGGAAAAAAAACACCGTTTCAATTTACAGGCGCCGCCTGTCTATGATAGAAAAGTTACGAACCTTTTTTCCATAATTATTGTTTCCATAATTATTTTTTTCCATAATTCTGTCGGTGACTGTATGTCCATCGGTTCGCAATTTGAATGCATTTTAAGGGGGAATATTGAATTATAGAAAATATGTGTCTAAAGATCTGGTATATGCCCCTAAGCCTCCCATTGATATACATAATATCATGTGATGTTCGCAATTTGAATGCATTTTAAGGGGGAATATTGAATTATAGAAAATATGTGTCTAAAGATCTGGTATATGCCCCTAAAGCCTGCCATTGATATGCATAATATTTGGATGTTTCCCTTTGCCAAGCCACCAATTGGGTTGATACTACATACTTGCATTTGCATACATATTTCCATAACCCCAAAAAATAACGGGTTTGAATTGTGGATCCATGACATGTCCAACAGGTGTAGCCCCAAACATTAATTATGGAAAAAATAATTATGGAAAAACCGGTCAATCTGCCCTAGCCCCCTGATTTCACAGGCAAAATCAATTATGGAAATAATGGCCACCTCCAAGAATTATGGAAAAAAAAAGGTTCGGATCACTTCCGGGATATTTTGAACCTTTATGGGGAAAAATCATGAAAAATCCAATTATGGAAAAATCGGACGCAGGCGCCGCCTGTCTAAGTTGAACGTTTTTTTTCTCCATAATTCTGTCGGTGACCATAAGTCATGTTCCCAACCATAAAAAAAAAACGTATTCAAAACCATAAAAAAAACAAGTAATTTTCCCATCCATAAAAAACATATCTGCAAATCATAAAAGAATCATATTGAAATCGATAAAAAAAAAACATATTTGCCAAACACGGCATCCTAAAGGATTTAAGAAGTCTGAAGTGTACTGTATCGCCCAAGATTGTTTTCTGATGAGTACTTCTTCTTATGAAACAAAATCAATCTCTTCATGCTTGGGACGATGGATGATGATTTCGCAGTGGGACATTTGTTCGAAGAGATGTTGAAACAACAATCAGAATTTAACCTTCAAGCAATCCTAAACTTGGCAAATTCCACTTCCTTGTCATGAATCCTCGCGCTTGAAAAGCCACTTTTGAAAAGCAGGAGCAGGACAAGGCTCAGCGAGAACAATTTGGCGCCACCCTGGGAAGGAAGTTGCTGTGATCCTGTCGATCCGAAAGAATCTCGAAATCGGTTTGAAGGGAAAAATAGTAATTACATGTAATTACATATATATATATAGATACATCAAGGAGAAATCAAACAACGGTCGATTTTGGATGCCACAAATTCTCTGTACGATTTCCCTTCGACCAGGAGTGAAATCTGGAGCGTAGTGGGAGACTTTTGTACAGACCATGCGTAGGAGTCTCCCTAGGAGTTTCTGATAGTCATTGTGTCCGCCGTTGACGAATTCATTCTATGTTATGTGCAGCGTGCAACGGCTGTTCGGCACAGACGCCAACTGGAACAAGCAGAAATAATAAATTTGAACAAACTCAAGTTTGCTGTGCGTAGAGACAAGATGGAGTACACAGCATGAGACTGAAAGCGGAGCCGTCATAGTTCGGTGTTTCTTCAGTTTGAGTTTCCAGAACAGTCCATTGGGCACACGTTTTCCTGTGGGCACTTGTGGCTGCGGTTTTGCTGGCGGAATCGGCTGATCATCGGAAGATGTGAGGCTGTCCATTGAATTATGAATTATGAATGTGTCTGAAAATGACGTATAGTAAGCCGAAAAAAGATTGCAAAAAGTGATTTCTTCACTAATTATTTTAGTGGGATTTTACTTTGGGGGGGATGCTATTTCTTTAATATGGGATAATGCACCCCCCGAATGAGAATGTTCAAAGGGAATAGGTTGCTCCTGCCCGATGCTGGGCCAAGAGTTGCGGCTGGACTTTTAGACCCGAAATCATCCGCGCAACACGAGCCCAGATTATAGATTATGATGATTATGTAATTTCAAGTAAGTTTAGCAAATTTGGCCAAGTGCAGGCAGATGTCACGTACACGGCAGTGAACAAAAAAAAAACGACGCAAACTTCAACGCCCGGCAAGTTCGCATCGCCACAACAAAAACCAGTGAAGATGTGGAGAAAAATGTAGAGCTGGAGGGCTCTGGGAGGCAAGGACTGCCGCTTTCGAGGGGCATTCTCCCAGTTCAATCATTTCACAATTGTTTCATCAGACAAGTATGTTGTAGGAATTGGGCTTGAAGTTGACCCCTCGATGTGGATGATTTAGAACCCCATGTTCCCATATATCTTCACCATGAAACGGCCATAAATGGCCATTGTTTCCATTGCCCCATCACAAACACAGCATTTGAGGGTTGCGTTGGGGGTCTCATGACATGCTGATTGTTCAAACGGTGTGTTCCACAGCGATGTCAGATGAGGTCAAGTTGAGGATACCCACCACCTTGACGCAAGAGATCATGTTTTTTGGTCAGATGTGTGTTTTGTCCATATTTATATCGGATGATATATATATATATATAATTATATATACACATATTATATGTATATATATATATATTATACCTGATAGCTGCAAGTTTGCTGATATGATGATTTGTTTATTGGTATGGTGTTATCATAGTGCATATCAGATTGTATCATTCATGTATGCAAAATACGGACGAATGTATGAATCAACATGTGCATACACATATACATATACTTATACATATCGTATATCCATATACATATTACATAGTTCACATATTGATATGACATATTGCACATACAATATACATATCAAATATATACATATCAAATATATATATATATTATATAATTATATTTATATATATACACATATGCATACACATTACAAACTACAACGTGTATCAGAAAACATCTTGAAGCAACCACCGCATGTTTCACCCCTTCCGCCTTGAACGTTTGGGACGCGTGGCTACGCCGCCATGGAAAGCAATTGCAGCGTGTTGGTGTCGGACAACAGCAGCGGCTTTATCACTGGACAACTGTCATGGCACCACATCTTTGAAGAGGCAGAGGGCCTTTTTGGAGAGGGTAGATAGTTCATGAAAATTCATTCCGGTTCTATTTGTAGCACCCCCAAAACGATAGACATGCAAAAATTGATCTCTTGTTTTGGTGGTACTCTACTGGAAACTAATTATTCAGCCAAGTGTACTATTGCGATATAATTGAACTCTTCCATGTTTGTTGATTTGTGGCTGGTTTAGGGGTAAAATTCTTTGACATGCTGGATGATGAGAATGAGGATGAGAATGGGGATCAGGAGGATGAGGTCTTTGACGTCGGCAAATGCTGACACAATATTTATTGTTTCCTGACATGAAGTACGAGGTTCTTCCAGTGTAACATGCCATGTTTTTTTGCGGTTAACTTCAATGCCCCGAGGACCTACACGATCTGAGTGTGCTTGGGGTACACCCACTCCATTAATCCTTTTTTTCAGAGATCAAGCGTGGATACCACGAGTCGATTGACCAATGTCAGGTTGAATTCATGCTTTTAGAGATCAAGCGTGGCTACATCGTCATCGGCGAGGTGTCTAGAGGCGCCGATGCACAGACAATAAAGTCCACAATGAAAGTCCCAGGCCGATTTCGCGTGTTTTTGTTTTTCGAAAACGTTACTAATTCCTAAGCGCAAACTATATGTATACAATCACACACACATGTATATACATGCATATAGAATTGAATACATATATATATATACATATGTATATATGATTATATATGTGTGTGTGTGTTTATATGTATTTATATGTATATATATATATATATGTATATGTATATATATATATATACACGCACATCCCTGATCATGCATACACATTATACTGCCAGGGCCCCGACTGTTTGGCCGCACCTGTTGGCGCATGGTGGGAGAAGACCAGCGCCCCTCGGAGGTCTTGAAGGACGGCGCGTTGACCGCTCAGCGATTGAACATTTACCAGAGAGAGTAGGGAATAATTAGGATAGAACTCATGGGATATGTATATGCATATGTATATTATATAATTATATATACAAATTTATATATATATATGTACATATAAACATACATACATAATTTTATATATATAGCTAACAATAGTGCTCAAAATATATGAGAATAGGGATACCAACCAACCAACCGGTAGAATAGGGGTATTTTTTTCAAGGTTTATGTGATTCATAGTGACACGGTGGATTTCATTGGAGTTGGTTTGACTTGTAAGAAAAAAGTGTAGATCATTTGTTTTTAAATATAGAGTATGCATAAATATACTGTAACTTGAGATTTCATGTGAAATCGTGACCCAAGAGGTGCCATGGTTATCCCGGAAGGTTTACTCTGTATCATGTTTTTGGGTGTTTTCCCCAATCAACCAAGCTTTAGCACTACAGGGGCTGAGATGAACTCATGATGTTGGAGACAATTAAAAACTGGAGGTCCATGACAGAATTTCCTTAGATAATCCATATGTTGCTACGGGCCCACGAGTCATGGGGGACATCTACCCTCTGGTAACTCAACACAGCTATGGGGAAACGGCCCATTTATGTCATTGTGGAGGGCCCACCACGGCTATTGAGCACAGGGGCCATAGTTATGGGGTTGTATCCCAATTTGCGGGAGTTGTTGTCATTATCATACCCATTACCTGGAAGATCTTCGCATTTAATAACTAGTTAAGAACAGTTGTCAGTAAGATCCCAATTTTACCTTCCAGCAGTCAAACGTGTATGATTAACGGAAAATGTCCTATTCATATTATTCATAGACCATTAGAACATCCACTTACAGGGGATTTCCCAGCCAGCCATGCATGATTGCCACTTGGTTAGTTATATAGCCATTCCCATTAAATCCCCATTAAGACATTGACTCCCATAAAACCACCATTAAACCATCATTCAATCCCCTAAAATCCCTTCAAAAATCCCATTCAATCACCATGTTTGGTCAAATCACCATTGAAATCACCATTTTGTGGCTTCAATCCCTCGAAATTCCTCATGGTTGTTGGTTAAATCACCATTTTTGTTGGTTAAATCACCATTTTTGTTGGTGAAATCACCAACTCTCTGGTTTTTCTGCCAGGGCCAACGGCTTCACTTCGTGCGCCCGGGCTGGGTCTCCGTGGCGTCCGGCGCCGACGGCCTGGCAGTGCTGCATGCGCAACAGGTGGGGATGTCCCAGGCCTAAAGCCCTGGGAAAATGCGGATTTCATGGCTAAAAACCATGGTAAATGTATGGTAATTGAACAACAAATATGGAAAATCAATGAGCATCACCATTTTTAATGGCAAAATCAACTATAAATGATTTAGCCTCTGGTAATTTGGTACAGTTTGCTATTGAACATGACCCATTCAACATAATTTATCATTGATTTAGCGATGAAGTTTCCATAGCTATGTTAGTTTACCAGATGGTAACCAAGGAAAATGATGTTTTATATAGATTAACCCTGATAAATGATGATGGATTAGTTAGCTAAGTTGACTTTAACTTCAGGTTTACTTTAGTTGATGATGGATATATATATATATGTATATATATATATGGTTATAGTTAATTGGGATTATAAATCGTTAATCAGCAAACATAGCTCGGGGCACCACCTGATACTAAGTAAGTAATCATGTTTGAACTTAATTACATATCATACACTCATATAGCCTTGGAATTTGTGGGTTATACGCTAGATAAATGATTAATCATATTATCATAATAGTATGTTCGAATGGGAATCATGTAATTCCTGATGAGATATCAGGACTCAATAACGCATAAATTATTAGTAGCCAAGAACAGTAATGTTTATTATATATATGTATTTTCATAAACATTGTACTCTAGTTCGGTAGGGGTTATCGGGATAATGTCAAGCCCGGAATATTGTAAACCCTAGTTGATTAATTACCGTGGCATTTGCCCCAGTGATGTGTTTTGCTAAAACGGCAACCCTTCAATTATCAACAGTCGAGGATTGACACCATCCCCCAACATTGACATAACATGACGGCCCTGCCACGTTGGTTGGCAGACGATTCTTTCCACCCCAAAATGTTGTCTATTCTCAGTGTCTATGTCGATTGTGGTGTGGTATCCAGGAGCTTCATCTGTAGATGTTCTTGAATGAAACAAAATCGTAAGTGTGCAATTTCCAACTTGAGATGATGATGACTAGCCTCGCACTAAACTGCTCATTCATGGTTCCTCCAGGACCTATTACCCAACCAAATTTTATCAAATACTTTTCAGTAGATTAATACAGAGATGACAAACAAGCATGGTTTCCCAAGAAAAATCATCGACAATTGCATATATGTATGAAAATTTGCTGGACGGTATTGTTTGGTGAATATTTGGGAATTCGCACTCTGAAGTCCAATTTCGTTTTTGGATTTTGAACATGCCTCTATATTAGAGTGCCAATATGTTTTAATATATTTTGAGGCTTTAATGGTTTCGGAAACTTCATGTTCTTTTTGGATTGTATTTTACTGTAGATTTGGGTTAGCGATCCCAACTGAAGACAAAAAAGTGTTCCCTGGGGATATCACCCAAAGCCCGTGCCGAATGCATCCGAATCCATCAAGTTGAAGGTCCTACTTTGATTCGCATCTTTTTCACATGTTAATCACATTACCCTTTTCGTAAATAACAATATAGATATATGGAAAATAGCATAATAGCCCATTTATGATAGAAATGATGATTTATCATGATTCTATCAAAAATGCTGATGTTCAATAGCTACGTTAGATACTCAGAGGGCAACATATCCACTGCCCATTCCTGGGACGCCAGGTTTTACCCCCAAAGGCCCCACCTGAGCCGAGTGAGGGGCTCGAGGGGGAAGAGCAGAGGCGCCAAGCTTTGGATGCTGAAAAAACATGTGGCATTTTACTCAGAACATATAGCATTTTAGTGACAAAACTTGAGGAAAAAAGAGATTTTATGAAGAACATATAGCATTTTTAGTGTCAAAATAATCAAAACATGGTGAGTCTATGTGAGTCTACTAGGAAAATGTAGCATTCACGTGTAAGTCAGTAAGGTGGAGGGTATATTGCGGTCGACTTTTATTTTTGAACCATGAGAACCATGAGAGAATGTGGATTACTCAGCTAGCACTACCACGTCCAAGAATGAGCTTAATCATCTAATCACGCTGTTCTGAACTGTTCGTTTATGGAAGAGGTATGGGAAGTTTGTAGGAATGATTGTCCTATTCTACTTTAGGATTTTTTTGGAGCCCTTGAGAATGCCTTGAATTGACATGGGCTTGAACTGGTTGCCGGTTTCGAGTATCCGAGTATCCAATCCAGATGCTTGGAAACCACATTTACCCAGATCTTGGAGGTTTGACCCATACAAGTGGGAGGTCAAAACTCCAAAATGACGGTGATTCGGAGTCCAGGTGTAGGTTAGCATCAAAGAAGGGACACCGGGCCACCGGGGGTACTGTACAACTCAAGAATGATAATTAGATATTAGTTTCGATATTAGTAATCCTCATTTGGGATTGCCATGGTGAATACCAGGTTATTCCATTTATACATCTATTATGGAATGTTACATCAATGGCCACATCAGCACCAGCTTTTGAGGCCATATGCACCATCTTCAGCGATTCCAACCCCCAACTTCTTTTGAAGACCATTGAAATGGAAAAGTTTCGGATTTATTTTCCATATCTTCCAAGATTATTCAATAACGTTTCCATAGATGATGTTTTAGAGGATAGGATTGACACGTTTCATTTTGCATTCCTCAGGCATCGAGATTCGGTGGGCCCCTTGGAAAGCTCCGGGAAACGGCCCTCTGTGGTGCCCAAGTTGGATTTCAGCCAGCTCAAGGGAAGAAGACAGGACTGCTGGGCTACTGGGAAACATGGGAAACATGTGGAGTTGCCTGACTATGACATTCATGGTTTAGATGGCTTTTGAGGAGCCAAATGAGGTTGATACGCAGGAATGATGGGGATTGGGATTATATATATATAATATAACCATCAACCTAGCGGGGTTCCCATGGTTCAAGAAACAAGATGTGGTATCGCACAGAGGCGTTTGGTGAATTAAAACGATCTCACAAGGATCTCCACCGCTGATTCTTAGTAAGGGAAAGTTACCCAAAATCACCTTGTGTCAGGTTGTGGAAACATGATCATTCAACCAGACGAGTGTTGTAGGATACCCTCTGATGTTTTTTTCACATATTTGATGTGGAAAATTCACAATTTTAGATGGGTGACTCATATATAAAAGCCACACTGGAGGATAAACCATCCAACTTCCAACTGTTTTCGCAGGGGTGAGTTGGAGGGGTAATACTTCCCAAGGGGTCCATGATGCCAGGAAAAAAGTCCCTGGCACACTGTGCTTTGTACCAGCTTTTGGCGATGTATGTGAGGCACAGTGACGACACCGTTGATGTTGATGTGTACAAAGATCATCAACTGAACGGTCGTACGAGGGGAACCCATGGCTGGTTCGCAAGGTTTCGGTTTTCACCTCACCTACGTTTAGGGTGAACACATGTTGCACCAATCCAATCATCCCAAATTCAGGCCTTGGGAATCCCCTAGTTACAACCAAGAGCCTGTAGATCTTCAAATGTCCCTGAAGCACTGGATCCGGCATCATCACCTGATCCCATCTGGTCCCCATTGTGTGATGCGGAGCCAGCTTGGCGGCAGTGAACCGCCTAGAGAATCGAAAAAGGGCGAAAAAAAACTGTTGGGTGATGATTCGGTGCGACATTTTGGACCTGGAAGCACTGGAGGCATCCCATCGTTCTTGAGCTTGGGGGAACTTCCAGGATCTTCCTGGATCTTCACACCAGTCGCAACCCATGAAAGATAAACACATTTATGGAATGTTGTTTTAGTATGGGAATTTACTCTTCTATCTTTGAAGGGTGCTGCTTTGCTCAATCTGTTTTCACCAGCTCCTATTCTAGTGCAATGGGTCAAAACCAGTGGGCACCAACTATAGTTTTCGATGTTCGTTGGTGCATCAGGGTCTTGACCTACTTGCATAATGAAAACCAAAAACTTTTGGGATTCTTCAGAACTTACATTTTCATATTATTTCATATTCATAGACATACTTCCGCCCTGTTTGGAGAAATCATTTGGAACATCTCCCGAAACTCCGTTCCCCGTAGCCCAGGCGGATGGATGTTCTCCCGTGTCGGTGGATGCCGCCTGAAACCTGGCTCCATGACCTCGTAGATCCAGGTTTTGTCATATCAAGTTCCAAGAGTGGATATCAACGGCTATTGTGATGAATAGTGCTAGTACTGCTAGTAGCTAGTACTGCATGAAGTTGCTGCACTTGTTCATATATGCATGTCGGACTGTCCATCCGAGTCCTTCAGTCCGCAGGTTCATTCCACCCGATACGCTTCCGCACATGAAATACTTGCCGATATACCCCCCCAATACGCGAAAACACCTATCAAGAGATACACGTTGTGCACCTGCATATTTCCAGAAACGTTTTTAAGTTGAAGAAGACCAATTCAGCATAGGCACCGTCGCCCCATCCAAAGCATGGAAAGGAGGCTTGTGAATTGTCAGAAATTGGATTAGATGTCCAAAATACATCTTGACAAGTGACTAACGCTTGTCCATCCCATCTTAAAGTACCTAAATATTTTATAATTAATACACAGTAAATCAATTCAACGTTCACATTAAACCTAGTCATTTCCCACAAATTTTCGTGGCTGGAGGCCCTGAAGCTGGTGGAAGGTGAGCAAAATGAGGCCTTGGCCAAGACCCTCCCCAAATACCCCAACAAAATTGTTGAAAGTACGAAATTCCGGTATAAAAGACAATTTTTACGGGTGCTTGGAGGGTTTATCTAGATAAATAAATATAAATATGACTTGGGCAGAGAGAGAGAGAGAGAGAGCGAGAGAGCGAGAGCGAGAGCAAGAGGAAAAAACACATAAGATAAAACTATATTGATTGATCGATTTATCGATTGATCTATCGATCGATTGACTGAACAAGAAACCGGACAATAGACAGACAGATAGGACGATAGAAAGAGACATAGATAGATAGATGCATCAATAGGTAGAGCATGAGAGAACTTGACGCCAGATGCAACAGAATCATCATCAACATGGGATTGACTGGGGGAATTGATTGTTATTGGAATGCTCAGTAGCTCTTCACTGGGTGGATGCTTTGGTGCCTTTTTTTTTCTGAGACTTACCACACAATATGCACATTTCTTAATCCCTAATTTTCTTTGCCAATCTTCCACTTGCGGTAGCTTAAATCCATCGACCTTCAGTTTTTTTTAAATCTTCAGCTTTCAATTCATTGAACCCACCATATTTGATGTGGCCTTTTTTCCACAGTTTCCAGTTTCCCGTTTATGCAAAGCCCACCAGGCGAAGGTCTTGGGTGCCACTTTGCTGCTCCGTGCCTTGGTCCAAGTCGGAGTCAAGTCGCGATGAGATGCGAGCTGATTGTGACAAAGGCATGTCAGTCTAAGCAAAAGGCTGATGGAGAACACACACATGGCATATTTACAGTTTATATATGGGTATACCCTTTGGTAATTTAACATAGCTATGGAAAATCACCATCTTCAATAGGTAAATCAACTATAAATGGGCAATTTTCCATAGCTATGTTAAATTACCAGAGGGTATATGGTATTGTTTTAATGGGTTCAAAGTTTTAAAGGGGGCAGAAGTAGAGTCACCTCGGCTTTGCCCCGAACCGCAACGACGACGGGCAACGCATCATCATCATCATCATCATCATCATCATCATGATCATCATCATCATCACCATCATGTTTAACGGGGGTGGGATTCTAATATTTCCTAATACCTTTGTTGATCTTCCCAATTGAATGTAACGTTGCAACAACATTTGATTGGGAATGAGAACCCTCTTTGTACACTGCAACGCTGGGAAAACACCCAGGAGTTGCGCGTGTGTCTATGTATATATATATATAGATATAGATTGATAGATATGATATGCACATCATGCATTTATACTTATACTTATACATATAATTATAGATACATAGATACACACGTGCAGCTGTGGTAGGACATTGCATTGTTTCGATTTGGCCAGCTGGCAGGTCACCATAACAAGCTGCTGCTGAATGTGAAGGGTTACTCTGAGCCCAGGGCCCAATGTGGTGGGTGTTTTACCTATTTTTGTGTTATGGTACTTTAATTAAGCATCAAAGATGGTGCTATAGCATGTTATAGCTGGATTTATAATGGATTTATAGCTGGGATTCATAGAATTTATAGCTGGTTTATGAGAGCTATCCTCCGGTAATCAAACGTGGCAATGGAAAATCATCCATACTTGGTTGTCCCATCATTCTTTTATACTTGGTTGTCCCATCATTCTTTTATATTGGATTTTCGGTTGCCATGTTTGATTCCCGGAGGGTAAGTTGGGGCACAACTATATTAAGTAGGACTTATGATGATAATCGCTATAGTTGGACCACGGCCTTTAGACGGCCGTGGTGTTTTGTTGACGTTGGGGGGGTGGGGTGGGGTGGGGTGGGGCATGTATTAACGTTCATGTGAACTTGAAGATGAAGTACATGCTATGCTGTGGCTGCCGGCAGGTGCATGTATTCATGGGTTGGGTGGGGTGGCGTGGCATAATAACGTCCATGGCTCTCTCTTTCATAGGTCATGCTACGCTAATCTATGTTCTCTTGAACTTTGCGCTCATGCATCATGCTACGCTACTGTATGTTCTCTTGAACTCTGCGCTTACGCGTCATGCTACGGTACTGTATGTTCTCTTGAACTTTGCACTCATTCGTCATGCTACGCTATTGTATGTTCTCTTGAACTTTGCACTCGTGCATCATGCTACGCTACTGTATGTTCTCTTGAACTTTGCGCTCATTCGTCATGCTACGCTACTGTATGTTCTCTTGAACTTTGCGCCCATGCGTCATGCTACGCTACTGTATGTTCTCATGAACTTTGCACTCATGCGTCAAGCTACGCTATACTGTGTGTTCTCTTGAACTTTGCATTTACGCGTCATGCTACGGTACTGTATGTTCTCTTGAACTTTGCACTCATGCGTCATGCTACGCTACTGTATGTTCTCTTGAACTTCGCACTCATGATGGTCATGCTACGGTACTGTATGTTCTCTTGAACTTTGCATTCATGGGTCATGCTACGGTATTGGATGTTCTCTTGAACTTTGCATTCATGCGTCATGCTACGCTACTGTATGTTCTCTTGAACTTTGCACTCATTCGTCATGCTACGCTACTGTATGTTCTCTTGAACTCTGCGCTTACGCGTCATGCTACGGTACTGTATGTTCTCTTGAACTTTGCACTCATGCGTCATGCTACGCTACTGTATGTTCTCTTGAACTTCGCACTCATGATGGTCATGCTACGGTACTGTATGTTCTCTTGAACTTTGCATTCATGGGTCATGCTACGCACCCCTCCGTGACACAATATGTGCTCATGGGTTGCGGTTGCTGGCGTTCAAGCTTACAGAGTCCAGATCCTGAAAGGTACTTGGAGGCGCTGCTCTGACCAAGAAACGGCTAGAAACATGTGACGACAAATTAGTTTCAGGTTGGCTAAAACACCCAAAAATGGTAGCTTCGTTTAGGTGAAATGACAGTTTTTGTTCTACTGTTTGTGGTTAACGACCTTAAAAATAAAATCTCACAAATTCCTATTGGCACGAGCACATCAAACATGATCAACAACATCCCATTAATCAAAAAAAACACGGCCATCTAAAGGCCGTGCCCCTAGTTAGATGTAGTTAGATGGGCTTGGGGGGCGCCACCTTTAAATTTTGTACGGCGACCCGAAACCAACGCCACTGGCGCACAATGGATCTAATTCATTCTGGGAATCAGCTGCCTTGATGAAATTGCGCAGGAATGGGTACACAAACCATACATGGAAAGTATGGGTAACTTGCAGTACATCTGGAGATCATTTGGGGTAAATTCCAACTGGCCCGAGCATAATTAATCTCCTTGAACGTTCGAGTGAAAGGTTTGCATGTTTCCTTCCTGAAACATATGACATTGAATTGACCAATACTTCTTCTGATGGGTTAGCACATGTCAAAAAGGGGGACTGTCATCACTACAAAGCAGCGCCCCATACTCAACTAAGTTTCACAACTCGGTTAGAATAGGTTAGGTTAGATATACGTAACCATGATATAGCCTATAAGTTGGTGCCAGTTTTACGTGTCTATAAGTTGGTTTATAAACCCCATTAAGTAACAGATATATCATGATACATTTACCAAAAACCAGATAACTTTTCAGTACAACCAACCTTATCTCGGCCCCGCAGGACCATGGCACCATTTTTTTCTGAGGCGCTCGCGCTTGAGAGTCGCCCTGGGCGCCCATTTTTTGTGCAGGTGCTGATTTTTGAGTGCCCGAATGGTCAGGGGAGGGAAAATCGTCACCGGAAACCATTGTTTTCCCACAACAAATGGATACAAATGGTGTTTTCCAGTAATTTTTCCCTTAAATCAATCCAAGGACCTTTGTGCCAAAAGATGTTACGCCAAATGCATGGTCCATTGATTTGACTACCACAAACTGGTTGATTGGTATTGTGGCAAAAAAAACAAGTCCCAGATTGAAACCCTGGTGCTTCACTTTTACAAGTTTGCATCGCTGTTTGTCACTACTGCTGGCTGCTGTCTAATGGAAATAGACTTAGTAGCTGCCCAATTGTTTTAGTAAGATGTTGCTGCCTCCACAAAAAAAGGATAAACGGCCGTTTGCACGACATGGCAATGCTTGATAGGCTTCTTCAGTCATCAGTACCCTTGCAGCGCTTGGCATCGAACCCAGTGGAACTCAAGCAGTGTGCTGACAACTGGGTCCGACATCGGTTGGAAATGCCAAACTTTGACATTTGTCATGTGTTCCCAAAAACCCTACCTTTACAACTCTACTTTTGTGTTTTGGACATCAGGTGAAGGAGCTCACAGATAGTGGGCAAATCATACGGGCACAGAAGAACTTTGCAGTTTCGAGTTGTTGGCAGATGAACTGTCATTATCATAAGATCACAGAGAGAGAGAGTTTTTGTTGCTATGATCCCATCACACTAGCAATTTAGCCTTATATTGTCATACTGACCAGAGAATCAAGCAAGAAGAGAACCATGGTTGCTACTATATACACCATCCCTCCAACGAATACAAACCCTGCTTTGTTTGTTCAAATCCAGTTTTGTTTCAAGTGTGTGATTCTCAGGGTCAAACGGTTTGTTGGAAGGATGGTAAGTCATTGTCTTTATTTAGATACTTATAGATATTTACAGATAGGACAATTATCTCGAAATGGGCAATTTTCCACATCGCCCAGGCCTTGGGATTGATGGCTGTGCTGCTGGTGGGATGCCGAGTCACCACGACGTGAGGTGGATCAAGTGGGCCCGGAACGGTCGGTAATACACATGGTATCCAAGGTACATGTGCAATATTCCAGTATATCTAAATCGTATATACAGATAAACATAGGTAGAGTATGGTATGGTATGGTATTATGGGGTGAGTTTTTCTTCATGCACATCAAAGCAGCCAACCTCATTTGTTTGTGGGTGGAATGTAAAGACTTCAAGATCCCTCTGCCAATCAAACTTGGCAATAAATTTTCCAAGGTTGAGCAGGAAACTAACTAACCACTGCATGTAAATGGATCAATGCTTTTCCAGGATGCCAAGGTGGTTATTGAGGCAAAATGCTATGCCAAGGGTTTATTTAGGAAACCCACTAATCGACCAATTTTGGAGGGTATGGCCGTATGGCTCAATGCGGTTGTGAATAAATCCTGAGAAAGCACCGATAGGATATGGTTCAGGTCCATATGACCCCGTAATTGTTAATTCCATCGGCCAATATCAGCCATTTGATCCATTTTGGTCAAACACCAACACCAATATTATCCAATATTTGTCAGCATTTTGTCAATTGTCTTTTTGCTTGGAAGAATTATTTTTCTCGATTTATACTGACAACGCTTGTTTCTGGAGCTGATCAATGTTGAAATATGAAGAACTGAGCTTCCAATGAACATACGATACCTATATATATATATTTTTACCATATTTCAACTTATATAATATATATATATATATATGTAAATATATACATACATATCTTTATAATATATATATATATATATAAATTTTATTTATATATGTATATAATCTATCTATATTATATATATGTCTAAAACGAATACAAGAGATATATATATATATATATATAAATATGTGTGTGTGTAAAAATATATATATATATGGTCCAGCTTTCCATCCCTCCTCCCCCCCGGGCCATGGTCATGGGTCAGCCATAGTACTGTCCCCCTCCCCCCCTGTGGTGTGGTGGGGGTGTGGTACTGTCCCCCCTCCCCCCCTGTGGTGTGGTGGGGGTGTGGTACTGCGTATCTATCTATCTATCTAATCTAATCTAATCTAAACTAATCTAAACTAAACTAATCTAATCTTATCTTATTTTATCTATCTATCCATCTATCTACCTATCTATTTATCTATCTATCTATCTATCTATCTATATCTCTCTCTCTCTCTATCTCTCTATCTCTCTATCTCTCTATCTCATCTCTCTATCTCATCTCTCTTTCTCATCTCTCTATCTCATCTCTCTATCTCATCTATCTCATCTATCTCATCTATCTATCGATCGATCGATCTATCTATCTATCTATCTATGTATGTATATATATATATGTATAACATCGTGTATGTATGTATGGTATGTAATGTAATGAAATGTAATGCAATGCAATGTAATTTAATGTAATTTAATGTGGTGTAATTTTATGTTATGTTATGTATGTATGTATGTATGTCTATATATCTATGTATATATATATATGCGTATAAATATATATATAAATATATATATATATAAATATATGTGTATGTATGTTTATTTGTATGTATATTTATGTATATATATATATATATGTATCTATATTTATATATTTGTATGTATATTTATTCATGTATCTTTAATATGTGTACACATCTCTATATATATACATATTGTATTTACACACAGGAAGTAGATACGTAGCACATGTATATATGACCATAGGTAGTACGTAGGTACTTTGAGGAAGTATGTGTGCTACGTAGGTCGTCTAAAAAGTAGCATGTGCCTAGTAAATGCGAGGCTGGTAGTCAGAAATGTTGCAAAGACCTAGAAATGCTGCAAATAGAAGGGACGGGGGTGCTACCTGGGGACGCATACCATTGGGGGGGGTAGGAACACGGAACGCGAGACCATAAATACAAAAATAACGATCTATAAAGTAAAATGTTTAAATGGATCACAGATGATATCCCCAAACATGGGTTGATTTGTGAATCCCTGTTTGCGGGTAGTCACTTTATGTGCACATATTTTTTTAATATCAATATATTTCGCCATGTATCACCATGATTACTGGCCAGTTTATCCCTATGATATCCTCATAACATGCTTGGTGCCCTATGAAGAACCATTGTTTACCACTGAGGCTGGCACAGAGGAAGAGGCACAGCAGGCCTGGGTCTCCCAAGTGATGGCAATAGCATTTGGGAAATGATGACCGTCATAGCATGTTGTGGTTATTGTTTTTTTTTCAGATAAACATATTTATATTGCAGATATGATTATATTTATATACCTGTTATGATATGTTCTGTGTATATATGTATATGTGTGTGTGTGTGTGCGTGTATGCGTGTGTAGAGCCAGCAACAATTTTCTCAGTACAATCTTACGTTATCTTACGTTCACATCATCTTTCCAGCCATACGAAGTTGATTTGTTCTCGCAAATATCAAATTCGTACCCGGTTGAATGCATTGGATCTATTCATGTTGAGGTTGTAATGTATATTAGGGGATTGGATTACCCTTATTAAGATAGCTGGGAAGATAGTACCCAAACCCACATTCATATCATATATCCAACAATAGATCGCATAGTTTCCCAGAATTGAATGTGTACCGGAAACCCTTCGATCTGGGTGCAACAACAATGGTGTCAACCGAAAAACAATCCCTTAAATGTCAATGCATCCATTAGCTGTTTACTCAATATTCCATTCAAAAGTCCATCGATATTCTGATCATGTGGCGAACACAAAAATAAACCATAAATGGGTGCTATGAACCAGCCCCAAATGGTACATTTATTATTGGGACGTTCCACCGCAGGCGGCTCTTGGACTGCTGGAGGTCGTTCCCTTTTTGGTGGTTTGGGGGGCTCAGTGGGCGGCTCGGGCTGTGAGGGGCAGGGCTGGCCCCAGAAATCTTAAGTGGATTAGTTCACCCTTCTTGTAGCTGGACATTGCCCCTTCTTACCCGAAGCCAGTTACAAACTGGGGTGGGCCACCAACTATTCTACATGTTTATGCACATGTGACAAGCAAACTGGCAAGTTCAGCTGTCGGCCTTGTTGTGGTTTGCTAGGTTCTTATTGCCTTTCTATATAACCAGCTGAATGATGAAAATTCCCACGGAACTTCCAATATTCAGTTCATCATTTGCTAACTGGTTCACAATAGTTGGCAAGTTATGAGTTATGGCAATATGATTTAAACATGTCTCTATTGACATAAATATTACGAGGGCATGCCAGGGCAAGAAACGATCCGGATGACATGATTACTCCCAAGCAAATGGGAATTGTTTTGCGCTGCATGCCGGCATGGCAGCCAGTTTCACAATTACATTCTGGGAACAAGTTGTGCATACGTTTGTTTGAAAAAAAATAAAGCTGCTTAAATAAGCCAGGTTGGGTATCAGTTGATTGGAGCATTCTTGGACCCAACAAAATTTGGCCACGGTTTCCCAGCAGATTCCCAATGCGGATGTCATATGTCATGGGGTCTGGCTTTCGGTTGCAAGGCCTGTGCTTCCAAATCAGAGAAACTTGCTGCATTTGGTGCGACAGTAGGCATCCAGACAGGTTTCCAATGTGGGATGAAAAGTGTCCTTGAAAGAATCGGTGGATCTGAAGAATCTGGAGATCCCCAATGGTGTGCCCCCTCGTTCAGACTTCCTTCATGCTCAACCAGCGATTGGTTTAAGACTTGGGGCTAAGTGACGGGAGACACGTTTGGGGAGTTTTTGGAGGGGGAGTGTGTCAATGATGATGATGAGGTTTCCCCAGTTTCCCTCCAAAAAAAAGGAAACATGTTTTGAACGTATCCTCATCCATGTGTTTGTTTTATCTATTCCAGGTCATGGACCGACGGTGCGAAATGGGAACACTTCTACAGAAGCCTCCCTCACATTGAGATGGCAAGAGTCAATGCTTTCCTGCACATTCAAGATAAACAACTAGTCTACTAGTCCAGTAAACCAAACACAATTTGTTGATATCTCCCAAGATAGCCAACTTGAATCAACTGGACGCTATGGTGATATGGTGGAAGTTGATAGTTGGGATGACAGGACATTAGAGTTTTTGCTCCCTTAGTGACTCTCCAAAAATGTGTTGTTCCTCATGGTATTTGTGTCAGGTTTACCCTTTTGTTCCCAAGAAATACACGAATGCATGAATGACTAGATAGAAATATATACACTCTGGTTATTTAACATAGCTATGGAAAATCCCAATTTTTAATAGGTAAACCATCTATAAATGGGCCATTTCCCATGGCTATGTTAAATAACCAGAGGGTAGATAGATGATGATAGATGAGCAGCAGCATAGCCCCTAACAGCAGTCCTGGTTGCACCGAGGATCAGCGAGTCACAGGCGCGCGATGCCCTCCAGCAACCCCAAGTCCAACGCCCCAAGGGGGTATAAAATCTTCTCGTAAACATTCGTAAACTAAACCATCTCTGACCGGCAAGGGGTATGCTCAGGGGGGTTGATATTTGCTGAGAAACTGGAAGTGTTTCCTCTCAAAACAGGCTTTTCATTGGTTTCCTTCTAAGCATTTACTTCAACCAAGTCCCAGTAGGCAAATGTTCTATCAAATGTTCCACAGTTGAAAGCCATTGCTTGCGTGTTTTTCCTCCCATAAAAAAGGCTCTCCTGGCTCTCCTGAAAATTGAAAACTCACATGGAGGCCGCAAAAGATAGTGCCTGGAAAAGATGGTTGGGCCGTTGGACCAGAGAGGTTGCACAAAATTATGTTCTCAGACTAATGAAACCCCGCCCATTCCGAAGGGCTGTTTCAACTTTGGATATGTTTGAATGAAAATATAGAACGCCAAAAACATCACATTAACCATCCTTCATACAGGCAATATACAAAATGCAAACCGTTTCCAAAGGAATCTCAACCTATGGAGGTCATAGTTGCTGCAGTCAAATTTAAGGCAATCCTTTGCTGAATATGAACCAAATTCCTGAAGAAAAAACGGAAAAACAACATTAATTATTATGATTGATCTGGAGAACCGCTTTAGGCACCCAAATCAGTCTAATCCCAAGTCCATGGATGCGGTGTTCGTGAGAACGATCGGTGTTCGTGAGAACGTGTAGTGCTGCTGAGTACGATGCGTGCACGTTGCACACCAAAGTACACACTCCTGTCCCCTGCCCCAACTCAGCTGAAAAAATCTGGTCAAAACCGTTCATGGTCTTTCCTTGAGAACGATGCTAGTCACGAAGAACGGTTGCCAGCTGAGAATGGAGAATTGTTTTTCCCCCCCTCCTAAAAGCAATCACGCCCATTCCCACCCGGATCCTTCTTCGCCTTTTTTTTGATCAAAAACGTCCGGGAAAAAACTAGGCAGTAGTCCACCAGAAGAACGATCCCTGTTATGAGAACGATGGGCCGATTGGAATACCCATTGATGATGCCCTAAGACAAGAAACCCAAAGATTGATCAGTGTGTTGAAACAACACTCCGATGAAATTGGCCTAAGCAAGTGTGTGCTAAAAGTGACTACTATTGACAAAAGACTCTCTGCTGCAGTTTCCCTACTCCCCCATGATGCGACAGTTTCTCCATTTTGTGCCAAATTTTCTGGGTGGATTCATTCAAACATGACCCCTCAGAACAATCGCTGTTTTGGCATGCGTTTTTCCCGTAAGAATGGGTTAGCTAAGATTAGAAGACCATTGTCCTTTATATACTTCAAAACCAAGTTAGGAAGATCAACTTCATTGCGGGCAACGATGGCTGGACAATCTAAACTGAAATTGCGTCGATGGTGTATCCTTGCTTGAACATTTTGCTTCAGGTAGTTGCATGGAAGGCACGGCTTCCAAACAACATGGAAACGGTAATTCTCTAGGCAGCCCCTGCATTCAGGCCGAGTTTTGGGGTGACCTAGCAGCACTGGTGGTTGGATTTTCCATATTTAGCTTTGTTTACTGGAGAGATTTGGAGGGTATATGTCTTCACTTTGGAGATCTATGTGTATACGCATAAAATCGCATAAACATAAAATTTATATGTAATATAGAACAACATTGTATATAGTAATTATATACATATATCTACTGTGTAAGATGTATGTAATATAATATACATATAATATACCTGCACAATGCTCCCTATGACTTGGATTTTTCTTTCAGTGCCAAGGTCCAGAAGAATTTTGTGAAACCTTGGGTTTGTTGAAGAGGCTCCTGGATTTGTCGCTGCCTCAGTGGCTGAATTTGATCTCACCTTTCTGCGTCTGTTGTGCCCAAGAAAATATAAGAAAATTGCAACAGACGCCTCGAACCAACCAACCCCTTGCCACTTAAAACCACCCCTGTGGTGCATATGTGTTTGTTTTCCTTCATGTGATTGTTTGAAACGGCGCCCTAAGATCCAGTGGTTTATCACCATGTTCATCAATTTTCCGCATGAAAAAACATAAAATATATCAAATGGGGGCGACGCACAACCTATATCATATATAGAAATTGGTCATATATCCCATGGATATTTCGATTGTATCACCAGTATGGCTCGTATATTCCCATGAACTATCCAAAAAATAGCTAAATCCATCATGCCTTGTTTAATTCCTCCATTTCTGCATTCAACCGCTGAGAAAAACATGTTGTAACCACAGCGGCTGCTTCTTTGAGGTTGCCACCTACCGAGGTGCGATGGCTCGCTTCATGATTGCTTGGTGATAGCTGGAGATGGTTGCTGGTGGTTCAAGATGCTTAGAAACTGCGTTTTTTTTCAGCACTTGTTTGTTCCTTAAAAAATCCTAATTCAGGGTGACCGCAGCGGGCTTCTTCGTATTTCGATGGTGAGAATTGTTCTTAAACATGTTTTAGTCATGAGTCAAAAGTCCAACTGCTGTGTGGACCCCCACAGAGTCAACTCTAACTCTTGGGGCAACCAAGTTTGACCAGAAACCTTTTTTGATGGTGGCTTCAATCTATTTCTTTGCCATCCTTACTTTCGATGATTGGACTTGTCTATATCATATTATATAAATGACTTGCGAATCATCCATTTATAGATGGATTTTCCCAATTTTTTCCTTATAAATACCATCCATTTTGGGTACCCCCAATTTAGGACACCTCCATATTGAGTTTTGTTCAGCAATCCTGACCCCTCAGGCTAAGTCACTGGTGCAGGCCCTTGGGAGGAGTGTGTCATAGAACGTGCGTGTGCTGTGCCTGCTAAACACACCGGTTCGTTGATGATTATATATAATTAATTATACTGTACTGGTAGCAGGGTACTGACGGTTGTATAGTGTATATTATTTAACGCGCATTCTGCAATATATATATACAGTACATGTGTGTGTGTGAAAGATGAATTTAGTTTAGTTCAATATCTTGGAGGCTATCATATGTCCATTCATCCCTACAGTAACATACAATTAATTGTCCACCAGTATAGTCTCTCAAGGATTGACGCCGATTCTGAGGATTTGTCCATGTTTCAATTTCGATAGGAATTTGTTGGGGTTGAATACCCTTTAAGTGATATGGAGGTTTTCTAAAATGGTGGCTACCCCAAATCATTCAAGTCATTCGAGAATTTGGCTATTGAAACAACATGAAACAACCATGGTGACGACTGGTGACTGGGGATCCCCCATTTCAAGAACCCACCAGGTGGTGGAAAAGGCTCAGAGATTGATGGATTAGTTATATGACATGATATGATATGATATGATATGATATGATATGTATATGTGTATATATATATACTGTATATGTGGGGGTTTCTTAGGTGGATCCCCAAGTCACCATGGTTTTATCAATACTAAAATGGTTGAATGGCTTGGATGACTTGGGGGTACCCCCATTTTAACACACACCCGTATATCGGTTAGAAACCATTTTCCATTCTTGGTTTCTGCAGTGGTGAAAGCCGCCAGGGATGTGAGGAAGTGCTTGCGCTCTTATTGCGAGATTCCCAGCTGGAGAAGCTGCGGGACAATCCAAGACTGAAGCGTGGTGTCTAGGTGATCTTGAAAATTCCCTGGGTTAAACCTACGGGAGGATGTGGAAAACCCTATGATTTTCCTAGGAACATGATCTACTATATACAAATGAAGGTTTTGTTAAATGTTTTGTTCACATCTATGTTTGTTTACGGGATTTTACGGGGGAGTATATCTAATTAATCCCAATTATGGTAACCAGATATAGCTATGGAAACCATGGCCAGTTTAGTTCGTTGCCCGTTAACAATGGTGATTATCCATGGCAAACCAGAAGGTAGGTGGTCTTGAATATTGGGATGTAATTTCTGGTGGAAATTAGGGGAAAGGGATCACTTCTGATTAGTTCTGCAGTTTTTTTTTGGGCTGATGAAACATCATTTCGGTGCGGATATGTCGATTAAGATTGTGTTTAATCCTTCAAATATAGTGATGTTTGGCACCATGCAGGTTTAGTGGCAGGAGGTACACCTTAATGAACTGAGATACCAACCGAAAATTCACCATGTCCAGAGAGAGTCCTTCCATTTATCTATATATTGATAATATATATCAGTATATGAATGTGGATTATCCATGATTATCCCAAGAATCCTTCCATTGAACCTTGTTTTTCTCCCCAAAATGCTGCGGGGTTACCACCGGGCGCGTTGCTCCAGTGGTCTTGAGGCCTTCCCAAAAGTGCGCAACATTTCTGGCCAAGGACGTTTTGCTGGTAGAGGCTACTATGGTTTTGCTGTGCAATGAAATTAGTTTTCACCTATGTATATATATATATTACACACTTGTATGTATATATATATACATATGTGTATTCATTTATATTTATATATCCTTGCATCACAAGGATAATTAACCAGTATTAGCCATTATTGACCATGTAAATATCACTACACAGGCATTGTGCTCATGTATCCAGCGCCTGTGGGAGGAGGAAGTCGCCACCGGCGCGCTCGCAGAAGAACTCAGATGTGACAAGGGGGACCGTGTTGAGCGAAGTCATGACCCGGAAAATGGTGATTTTACGGGACTTCACCAACAACAATGAGGATTTATGCCAGGTGGCGCCCTTCAGTCCTTAGCTATGTTGGTTTAGTTCAGTATCGGTACGTTGGCTGTTGGGTCTGTGGTATTACTATGTATCGGCTAAAAGCTTGGGGGCACACCCTTGTATCCACATTGTAAACATTGCTCAAGTAGACGGGGATCTAATGGTGATGAAGCCAACCAGAATGGGGAGGAAACTAAGCGGGAGATACTGGGGTATACCCTCCCTCCAAACAACATAAACTGTGCCCGTCATAGGGATGAGGGGGAACACCATCCCCAACAATACATTGTTGTTTATAGTTGATTCCTATAATTGCCTTCAGATTTGTGTTATTACCCTTACTCCATAATGATACTCATTTTTATTGGTGTTGAAATGTCAAGTGAGGCTAACATTATTATCAGCTATGGCTATTACCCCAACCTTTCCCTACCAGTCTTACAGGACAGTGAGACAGTGACTGGTCAAACAGTGGCTTCAGAATTTCCCAAACTACCTTATGGTTGCTCTCACATTAGCACCCCGCTTGGGTGTGTGTACCAGAACATATGAGAAGTAGAGATGCTTGTGTAGTCCCTGAAATGAGGCCGTCCCATTAACAACTCGAACCTACAGAATTTATACATATATATATATATATTTATACGCATACAATCATGTATGAATATCACACACTCACATACATTGTATATGTGCATGTAAACTTTACATGTAAACCTGCATATTTCCCAGACGCAGAGAATTACCACTGGGCCCCTTCTCCCACCCCTGGATGCCCGCCCCTTAGGGTCTGACCGAACTCCTCTTCGCACGCGACTTGAACGGCGAGGAGAATCCTGACAAGGCGTGCCACTCAGATCCCCAACTTTTTTTTAACTCTAACCGGAGGCTGAGAAGCATTTACCAAGTGTGAGGACTGTTTTTGTTCTCTCCGGTAAAGTGAACATCCATTATTTTTCCAACATATAGCAATGTGTTGGTTCATATTCAGAATATGCTTGGCGTCGGTCACTCATCGAATATTTGAATTTGCTCATGTTCAAACAACACGTGTTTTAATCCAATTTGTTCACATTCACAATATGCCAAAGTATGATGGCTATGGTACTTAGGGCTTAGGGGTGCATCTCACTTAGTAAGTGGGCAACAACCATACTAAACCCCAGTCATACATGGGTTACATAGGATTTATCTGGGTTTTTATAAATCAATGCCTAACTGGGATGCACATCTAAGTATATATCTCATTTCTTGGGGGGTGTCACTGATATGCTTGGCTTGGTGTTTTTGGACCATGTCCGCTTGGCCCTTTGGCTCACATCCTGCTGCTGCAGGATCTCTCAGCTTTGCTGGAGACAGTGATTTTGGCCCAAGCCTCGGCAGTCGGGATGTGTTTGGCATATCCCCTGGGGAAAGGCCATGACAAACCCAGGCGGATAGAAGGCCAGAAAGAAACGCGACACACCTGCATAAAAAATGTTGGACATGTTGAAGTTGTGTGAAGTTTCACTCTTTTCTAGCGGCTACAGGGTGCGGATGTTACCTTGCTAACATGTCCCCAATAAATTATACAACAAACATAGGTATGGAAATCCGTGGCTGCTGCAACTTGCTTCCCTTGAAAAATGTTCTGTATAATTCTACATGTAACTATCGGGTTGTTCCAATTTCTTTTAGAACATGTGTATTGATCTATATACCCAATGATTAGTTAGCTTATAACTTTACAATACATATATATATATAATTATCATCATTCATCCGTATTACTGTACAGTAACAGTATACATAATAGATAGTATATAGAAGTATATCACACACACACATATATATATATATACATTATAAATTTACCAGGGCTATCTCCAAGGTTTTTTGGTTCCGCCCAGGAGCCTTGTTTTCGCGGCACCAGCTGTCAAACAGCGGCAGCTCGGTCGACCCCTCGCTTTTAGTATTTGGGCTACGTTTCGGGCCTTAGGGCCCTAGGGGGAAGGGATGAAAATCATGATTCAACATACTGTATTTGTATCTATTTGTTTGGTGCTATTCAAAACCGATTGATTATATTTTATGAGCTGAGCTCGGTTATTTCGACTATGTTTTTTCGCAAGCGCTATATAGGTAAATGATAATATTTTTTTATGGATTAATGATATGCCGAACCGGCCCCACTTATGTTTCCCAAAAGGACAAAGGCTTGATCAAAGGCTCCAGTGGGATCCACAGATCCAATGACTTGTGAGTTGGTACGGTTATACCACAGTTGCTGAGCACTTACTAAGTTGAATCATCCTCCAAGTAATGACCATCCGGCCACAGGGGCTCATCAATTCCGTACAGTTCCAGTGAAATCAGAGGCAAACATTGAATCATTATTGTTTTTGCACCTCCGTGATATCCAATGATCCATGTTGTTTTGCTATACACGGCTATACACCAGTTTTGTATAGTTTTGCTATTAGTTGCAATGCCAGTCTTGTCTCGATCATTGTTGGCTATTGCTTTTTTTATTGATGTTCCTTTTCATTTGCGGATTAAAACCAGACCTTTTTGCAGACCTTTTGGCAGGTTAATCCCAGATACGTGTTTTCAAATCATTTGTTGTTAGTCTTTTAGCAATGAGCTTAATATGTTAAAGTACAATAAGGTAGCGGGCAATATCGTGGACAACATGCTTTACAGTATACAGTTGAAACTAATTGGTAAACAGCTCAAACCATATTCAATATTTATACACTGCATTTCAGACAACATGATCCCCAGTGACGTTTGTTGGTTTACAATCCCCATGAGCTATACTGTAGATAAAACCCCCTAATCAACCCAACCGTATTGGACTAACAAAACCCACGAACTTTGCTAGGTAGTACCCTCTGGTAAACTAACATAGACCCTGAAAATCACCAATTTTTAGTAGACTATGGGGCCGCACCCTGCATGAGATCTACCATTTCATTGAGCCAAGCCACACAGCTTCTTCCTTGCGACAAGCGCTGTTTCTAGGCTTTGCAGCTGCTGGCAAGTCGCAGGCGGTGCTAACGTTCTGCAGCAATATAGATGAATATAGGTTACAAGGTGGTCCATAGCCAAGTTGGTTAACATGCTATAACCATGTACTACAAAGACTAGGTATAACTATGTTTATAAGGGCTATATTAGGGCTATATTTATAGTCTATAGTTCATGGGGGCTATAAGACAACTGGGGCACCTTGTAGGACCCACACGCTGCATGCTATGCAGATTGGTATGCATAAAAGATAAGCATCCTGAAGTACATAGAATTTTGGGGATTTTCAAACATATTCCCAGTGATTTGTTGTGTGGGACATTTTAATTTTACTTTTCTATCTAAGATACACCATGATGTATACACATCTAGGATATTTCTAAGATCCTATAGATATCTAAGATCCTATAATATTTCTATAGGATATTTCTATACGTATCTATCCATTTGCACATCTTATTCAAGCATATCCAGCATGAGTCCGCTGTCGGTGAGGCCCAGCATGCAGCGCTTGGACGAGGCGGGGCTTGGAGCATGCGAAATGAGGGAATGCCGCAGAATGCCACTGAACTCATCCCCAGTTTGACAATTATTTGACAACGGATGGTATAAACAGTATAAACCATCAAAATATGGTTGGTTTATGACATTGCTTTACTAACATTACTATATTATAATGAACCAATAGTAGTTAAGCCTCCATGACTTTAATTCACTGGGAAACCCTGGATGGTCAGTGCCCAGGTCCTTGGTCATGTTTGGAATCTTCAATTTTGAGGAATATTTTCTCATCCATTCCCTGTGGAAACCATATTATACACTGTACCCATCAAAACTGGGTGGTTTCAGATCCATATTTATATGTGTGTATATCACTGGTGGTACTTAACAACCAAATAAACATTGCATTTTTTGAAGGGTACCTGAGACTAAGGTCGGCAATGACTAAAAACCATACGTTATGCAGGTAGTTTGAAATAATGCACCCCAGAAATCCAGGCTGTATCAAAACGTTCCCGTTTTGTCCGATTAAAATGTCTGCTTGTTTGGGGGTGTCCGTCATTTTTTGGATGCACCCAAATTGGATGTAGTTGGTTGTACCAGCGTAAAATGCAAATTAAACCATCATTTTTGTTGGTCCAGTCACGATTGTTCATCCTTAAGTCCCTGTGTTTGATTGCTAACACCCAATTTTGGTTGATTCAGTCACAATTTTTGACGGTTCCCCCCCGAAATGGAAAACTTCACAACACATCCTTCCCATGGTATGAACCCCCTGTGAGTGTCACCTGAAGAAGCGCAACACCTTTCGCAGGTGATTAGCTGCTCGTTGGGCAGTGGGGCGACTGCACAGCGAGCCCTGTCACTGGTCGCTGGGTCAGGGCGGTCAGGGGTGAAACTTTGGTGAAGGGTGTATATTCAAACACGGCAATGTGATTCAGTCTTGCACAAGGTGTTGGGATTCTTACAGCCATCCGGCGTACCCGTTTCATTGGACCCGAGGGACCTCAAGTCACCTCTGACCTTCAGCTGGCCATTTTTCCCAATGAAACATGCAGGAAATACCAAGGGTGAAGATTGAAGATAGGATACATAGCCCCAAACACCCTGGTGGAATGTAATATACTGGTTTTCCATATCAATCTGTTCGATTGCTAGAAGGTAATAGGATATCAATGGAGATCATCAATAAAAGTACCTCCAATTCTTCGAATCTTGGATATGAGATACCTCTCTGATCATTGCATACCCTCCTGTAAACTAACATAGATGTGAAAAATCCACCATTTGTATCCATGTGTGGACCATTTTCTCAGGAAACCCACGGGTTTTCAAACGGAAAAATCCCACATCTTTCTGCTCAGGTTGCAGCTGTCAGCTGGACTGTTGGCAGCTCGTGGGACCCAGCCGGATCCCAAAAAGGATCTGTTTTTTTCCCCATGAACCATGGGGATTCCACGTATTTTTCAACTTGGATACCCTCTGGTAAACTAACAAAAAGCTATTGAAAATGGCCATTTATAGTGGATTTTCCCATTAAACATGGTGAGTTTCCATAGCTATGTTAAATTACCAACTTGGATAATGAACATGGATATGATACTGGAATGATGAGAATGGAAAATCATGGGATAATGATGTTTTCATATGATTTGATAATGATGAACAGATGAACATGGGATGAGAATGATCATGAGATATACGGATAACAGATGTGTTTGGGGCCGGAGAGGGGGAAACAAAACGAGGCCAGCAACCACGTTCATCGAATCCCGGTGGTGTTTTCAGCCACTTCCAGTTGACAACCCCTTTCTTGGAATGAGACCACCAAGGAGGTAGGTCTTAAGCAGTAAGCCCTATGAAGCCTGGCAGCTGGCAACTGGTTAGTGGCACTTACCTCAGGGTTACTGACAGTCTAAGTGGAAGGATCCTCCAAATAGATCCAAATAGTGGAACCAATGTTTGCTTTGAACCAATGTGTAGTTTCCCCTAGCCACTGGCTGCTCACACATTCTGAATCAACACAGTCTGATTTCGCTGTATCTCCACCTGCTTTAGCACCGAGACCACGCCTATACTAGACCCAGTGGTTCTTTCAAACAAATGGCACGCACCATGCCCATCCCGAAAAGAGCAGCTTCAATTTGACTACTTGTTTGACAATGGCTCAACCAGCGGCTCCGTTCTATGGACTTCATTGATCCCAACATTCACTGGTTTATCATGATGTTTCCATTAAACTAGCCATAACTGTCGGGAGCATATACATACATATAATATAACACACACACACACATATATATATATACACCCCAGTTTCTGACACATCCATGAAGAAGGCATGTCTCTATCGCTTCCCTTTCCGCCATGGTGGCTTTGCAGCATCCTTTTTGCGCCGCTGCGATGGTTTCAAGCCAACTTTCCGGACACAGTGATCCACCAGTTGGGGAAGCTATGTGGTGGCTGCAATCACAACACAGTGCCACATTTTGTTTTAAACATGTGGATGTTCATTTCTCAAATCTAAAGAACTGTTTTTGTTTTTTTGATGGATGGTTTCTGCGGCTAACCATCATCTATAATAAGTTTGTTGTGAGATTGTCATCATTTGCGGCGATTTTTAGGATATGATCGAACTGGATAGGACAGGGTAGATAGGTCGCTGAACTCTCGGTATGCTACAAATGTTATATACAGGCTTTGCGGCGGATATACAGTATATAAAAATATATGTATATATATATGTATATATATAAATGTGTATATATACATATATCAATATATATATATACACATGCTGATTATACTCAATGTAGGCAATATGTATCATGCAGAACTTGAAGTGCTGGCAGTTTGCAGGCATGCAATCTACCTTGAATGGGTTAAGCAAAGACTGGGTCGACTCAATGTTGGCGTACAATCTAAAGCAACATGATTCTCTTTGATATGTTTGGTGCACGTTTCCCAGTGTTTCCACACTCTGAACACCATCACAGAACTTCCCAGAAGCCCACTTGGAATGTGGTAAAGTTTCCATTTTAGGATTCTTTTTCGGAGGAAATAAGGATAGATAGATGGCACTCACATTCCCGCTTGACATTTGTCCTGGTCATTACCCTATGATCATCCCAAGCATGCCCTTATCACCCCAAACCATAAAATTATGTTTGTTCATGGCCAGTATATATATATATATACACTATGCCGCAGTATTTGTACTGCTCGACCAATTCCAAGGGTGCGACAGTTCCCGCGCGCGATTGACCAAACGTGCGATTCAATTGACTCCCAAAGTCATTCTCGCCATGGCTTATGTCGTGCCGTCCCAACTGGCCCCCATCTCGCGGCTTATGGCACTGGTGTGGGGCAATAGTGATTCGATGCAGAAGGACTCCAAGGTGCTGGGGTACGGGGAACATCAGAAGAAAGGAAAAAAGGACAGTTGGGAAACCAACAGATACGGTAAAGATAAATAAAGGGGTTTCCTCTCAACCCTGTCTTACACCAATAAACTCTGGGACGGGGAAGATTGAGAGAGATCTAGGTTGAAGAACCGGAATTGTACGTCAGTGATGTACATTTGCAGCAGAAGGTCCCTTACTTTTCTTGTGCATGTGTCACCCTTGGGATATATTATGATATTTCATGCAAAATAATTGCAAAATATACAAATATACTATATATATATACATACAATATACAAATATATATATATACACAATATATAAAGATTATTTATATATATATATATTACATATGTATATCATGTCAACCCGACATCAGTAAATCCAGGTTAATGAATTAGTGGGTACCAACCCATGTGGTGATACTGTAATGTGCTATGTGCTACTAGATATGGTACCCTCCCAATTCAACAGCCCAGGAGTTAAGCGTAACATTCATCATCATTCATCCCAGCTTGACTTTAATCCTGCACATAGGTCCACATTCTCTTCTAGATTTCCTCATGGCAACCTTCAACACTTCCTGGCCTAAGATCCTCCTTATCAGCGGGCCGTAGATTTTTGGGCCCGACCGGGCCGTCGCAGCTTTGTCGAGGCAAAGGCAAAAGAAGCAGAGAAGCCAAAGGTGGGTTGTAAGGTCAACACATGCAGGGTGGTGCCGCATTGTTAGCTAAGTTGGTTTACAAGTTCAGCAACTAGGGTGGTGTCATACTTAAATGGGGATTGCAGACCAACTTATAACTGGTACCACCCTGTGTCAATACTAAAAACTCCCCAATGTCCCTGACTAATGGATTGTCCCGGTTCAATGCAAACAAAGAAAATATCCCACGAGGTATCAACAAGCTCGTTTCATGACCGTCTATATCATTTTACAGGCATCATCAGACTATATTCAATGGATTGGTTTAAGGGAAAATTTACAGGAAAACCCCATATTTGATGGGAAAATCTATGGTTTCCGGTTAAGATTTTCCCTTAAACCAATCCATTGATATATCAGACTATTCTGCAACATGCTTGAGATCTTCTGCAGGGATCCCCAGGGTTTTTTGGGGGTGACATTTTCCCACCAGGTGGAGCCAAAGATTGCAAAGGCAGAAACTGTCGACAAGCGTCAGAAGGCCGGTGTCGCAGTACCTTTCAGGAGGTGAAGCGGAAACCATCTCCAACTAACTAATGGGTCTATGCCCGGGTATGCCACATACGTCCCGATTTTTGACCACAGTTGGGATCTGTTTGGGATGATTCCACATTAGAGACTGTGCGAGATCTGAAAATTTGACGAACTCTGATGATGTTTGGTGAGGTAAATTCAAAGCTCAGTAGCAAGTATCTATTCAGATGGCCAGGCCATTTTTCACTGACCACATGGACTTCCAACACCTCACCTGAAATCGTCCAACTTGGACAGCTACATGCTGAGAATTTCCATTTCTTGTTTTTTTGATATGATTACTTAATTTACTTTTGAATTCAGGGAGGTTGTCAGACATCACGGGGTGGTGCCCCAAATCGTTAGCCACGTTGGTGCAAATGAGTCTAATAACTAGGGATTATGAGATTATATTTATTGTAAACCAACAAACACAACTGGGGGGGTACCACCCTGCACCAGCTGATGGTTTTTCAATTTGCTTCCCCTTTGTGTTTCCGTACAATTTCGATGGCCGCATGTGCACAGGAGGTGCGGATTGATGCCACCACCATGGTGCCTACAGATCTGTATTGGAGCATCTCGAAGCGGGGTCCAATCATCCAATTTCGATGTTTTCGTTGTTGGTTTTATTATACCAGTTGCCAAAAAAGATGGTGGGTTAACCATGCATTTATACATATTATATATAGACATATTTGATACATGACGTATCCACATTATTGTTTACAAATCACATGCATGTCCATACATGGCTTTAACTTTTAGTCGATGCGAGTGACATGAACATTGGGTTTTTACTTTGTGAATAATAAATGATGTGTCCAATTTGGTGCAACTATGGCAAGTTCATTGGCCCAGCTCACCATAGATGGCTGAAGTAATTGTGTGGTGGTGTGGATACCGCTGGTGATTCGCACTGGCAGGGCATACCAGGATTCTAAAACACTATATAAGCCAAATCGCCAGCGAATCAGTGATATTTTAAGTGATGCACATTTGGTTTGGAGTCCTGAAGCTCTCGTTTCCAATTTCTTGGTGGAGGGTGCGAGAAAAGGTCCAAGTACTGTAACTCTGGGATTTTTTTGCTACGTTTGAGATTGCTTTAGAGGTGTAATTATATTTGTTGATATTGTTATATATATATAGATTACTACTATTGAGTTAGTGTTATCATTATTAAAAATTGCTATTACTATCATTGTATCTGAGTTTTTTTGTGTGCCTTCGTATGCACCCAAATTTTCCTCAACATGTTGGAGTCACATGTAGATTTGTCTCAAGATAGGATACCCCCCAGTATTTACAACACATTTCGCCATGTATAAAACTGGCTATTTGGGCGGTATATACAGTATACCCCATTTCAGACAAAGCCAAGAATCATATCAGGTTACAAAAAAACGGTACACACACAACGATTTATTTATTGTTATTATTACTACTATTATGATTTTTGATTGTTATTATATATATATATATATATAGGTAAGGACATTTAAATATGTGGAGGGCGGGCCAGACTACAAGGCCCTGGAGGTAGTAACTATGAAACACCAGTTCCATCCGTTGGATTCCGTATGTTTCATTGGCCGGGCGGGCGAAGGAACCCTTCCCGGAGGTAGTCTAAAATACAAGTTCATAATAATCCCTTTATTTACAGCGTTTCATAGTTACATGGGTACCAACTAGTGCAGGATTTTGCAACGATCCTCTATGTTTGATGCTTTAAAAAAGTGATGTATCCCTGTAGCACCGATTCATTTTCCACATACTTATCTCTATGTTTGATGGTTACCGTCTGGTAAACTAACAGATACTATGGAACATCTCCATTTTATTACCATGTTAAAAACGGTAAGTCAACGCACTAAATGGGCCATGTTCCAGTTTGCAAACGGTTCGTTGACCATGAGGGTCCCAGGGTCCCAGCAGATGTCCCCGCAGATGTCCCGCTGTTCGCTGAGGTCTCCTTCGTGCGGGCGAACGTGCCAGGAATATCGGGCAACATCAACTGCGGGCGACCAGGCAATAGCTGCATTTGCCGCAAGCGGTTGGGTTAAAAACACGGAGGAACAGTAGGGCTCATTAAGAAGGAGAATCTAAGATATAGTTAAAGATCGTGTTGAATAAATTCAGTTGATGACTTTTTCATTTGTTGTTAAATCATCTAACTGTTTTTTTTGTGTGTTTTATATATATATAATGGAATGGTTAATAATGATCATGGGGGTGTAATTGGAATATAATCAACATCACCTGGATCTGAAGAAAAAACATGGGATTTCACCAACCCCAAATTGGAACAACATGATGACAAGGTGGAGATGATTTTTTGGGGAGTAGCAGCACGTATGGCAACCCCCAAATAGATAGAGGAGTTGGACACCTTGAAATCATAAGGCGAAAAAAACCATCCTGGAAGCGCATTTCCATCTTTCTTGGGCTTGCTATCTATCTACCTACCTACCTATCTACCTATCTATCTATCTATGTATGTATGTATGTATCTATCTATATATCTTATCTTATCTTATCTTATATTATATTATATTATATTATATGTCTTATCTAATCTAATCTAATCTTATCTTATCTAATCTAATCTAATCTTATCTTATCTATCTATCTGTCTATCTATCTATCTATCTATCTATCTATCTATCTATCTATGTACTTGACTTTATGTTTGTTTTATCATATTTGGCTTCATATTTGAAACACGTTGAAACAGGCGCCGGCTCGCCAGGCCAAAATGACAGCTAGAAAGTGGAGATCAGCCGACTTCCCTTGTTCACTGGGGAACGTTGATAACGTTCATATGTATTGATATAGTTAATTAACATTTATATGTAAGAATAATATGTAAGAATAATAAACGTTCATTAATTTACACAAATATATAGTTGTAATATGTTGTAATATAAACTGCAATTGTCCAGAATTGCATATGTTTAGATATCTGATGATATCTGGGTAAATCATGACGACCCCACTGCGACCCCACTGGAAGAATGGTTAGCAAGGGAAATTATCCAAAAAAAGAACCTGATTTCAGGTTAGTGAGCTAGTGAATTATGATCATGATTATGTGCCCAGATAATCCCAGAGGCATTTTTTGGCACCAGGCAATCGTTGAGCGATGAGCAACATTTGGTCAGAACCCACAGCAACATTTAGTCGCCTTGGGCCTTCAGCTTGGATGCTCGGCAACTGGCAAAATCCTTAGTGGTTTCCGGAAACGATCTAGAGTCCTAGAGCTGGACTTTCCATCTCTTAATTCTCTGTTTACTGGAAGGTAACTCCATGAAAATAGGAGCTTCATGGTGTTTTCCTCAAAATTGTATATAAGTATAGTACTGAGTATACTGAGTATAAGTTGGGTTTGTCCAAACGAGGGGGATAGCTGAAAACAGTGTTATATATATATATACATGTTTATGGACAAAATAGCGATGAACCATAGGATTACCGGACCCCCTATTTTCAGACAAAAAATGCCGATTTGGACTGATTTGGACCCGGGGCTACAATCACAAACGCAATGATGGAAAGGAACAACATTAAAATCATGCAGGTGGTTCAAAATGAAGAAACTGTGAGGATGAGGAGGATGATGATGGCGACGATGAAGGACACTGACATCTCTATTCCTCTTGTTGACACCACCATCCCATCATGGGCACTCCGGGACCCCCCCAACTCCGCGGCCCAGGGATGATCTGAACTTCAGATCTGACCGCAGCTAGGCAGCTAGACGTTAGACTTGACAGCAGGCCGTTTCACAAGAACTTAGGCCGAATGGCGCTGCCTGCCCCTGTCCACAGAGAGTGGCATGGGAAATTGAACATTCAGATGGAGACGTCACAATCACGACTTTGAATAACTACAGTTTTAAAAAAAAAAAACACATATGTATCAATGTATGTGTATATATGTATCACTATTTTTTATCATTCATAAATGTGCGATTTTCCATGGCTGTCTCAAATAACCAGAGGGCACCTGCTCAAATAGCTCAGATATTGACCACAGGCGCCATTGGAGGCATCCAAATCCTGAAAATGACCGGCGAAATATTGTTGGTATCTTGTTGGCAGGTTTGAAGTCGCAAGAACCATTTGTCATATGTGTTGTTTCTCAATTTATGGATGATGATCCCAAACTTGGCTTGGCTGCACTATTTTTTTCTGTTTTTTTCCCCACATTGACGTGTGGGGTTTTTGTTTTTAGTTCTGTATCCGCCGCCTCGCCCGCCCGTCCTCCTCCTCACTCCTCACTCCTCACTCACCTCACTCACACACTAGATAAGAATGGATCATTGTAGTGATCCGGCAGGAACTGAATCCTGTAACATGCAAATTAGATGAGAAACAAATTAAAGCAGGTACACATCCATGGCCAATGGATGCTTCCCTCTCTGATGCATAGCTTCGTT